CTTAGTTTCTTAGTTTTGTTTAATAATTTGGAACAAGATAATAATTTAAAAAAGTGTGCCTATGCTTCTTTTGTCATTTCATAAAATATCATTCTATATTTTGCATATTTTACAATGTTTCCACCATGTCTATAATTTTTACAATATTTCTGACATTTCCGACATGTTTCTTATATTTGGATGACCGACATCAACATTTTAAACCTTTTGTATACATGTCCTCCCTTTTGAATTAAGTTAGGATTCTCTTTGAGAATACTTGTTTTGTGCTGCCCTTCAGCTTGTAAAACACATCCATCCCCATCTAACATGACAAGTGACAGACCACAGGTTGGAGAGAAAAAGAACATGAATTAATCAATCTGAAGACAGAAACAACAATGCTATCATCAAGGAGAAAAAAAAAAGGATATAAGGATCTGGAGGTATAGACATTAGGATGGGGTGGTGCCACCACCAGACAAGGCATACTTGCACAGATAGTTCTCTTTCCCATTCACACCCCCAAGAAAAAGACGAAAACAAAAGAAAGAAGAAACCATTTTCACTAAACAGACGACAATGATGGATGGTATAACTTTATTGAATGCTTTAGTTACACTAAAATGCATAGTAAATGAAATCCATTGGCACAGCATGCATCCTATGTGGGTCGATTAAACAGTATATCCAAACCATCAATCACCATATCTAACATCATGCTGAGTGCTTGCAGGTTAAATCTCCAGAAGATCCAATTCATGTATCCTAGAATCCATTTTGTTTCAAGTGTCATGTGCTGATTTCTTTCTAATAAAGCCAGAAAGGTGGCCATATTATCCACTTTTAGTTCATAACCCATCCCTCCCAGCTTAAGCAATACATTTACATAGCCACAGTTTAACAAAGAATGTCTTCAAAAACATTTTTTTTTTTGAAGGATGTCTACTAACTATAAACCAAATTACAGTGCTTGATACATTGAATCCAGACAATCACTGGAAACCCATTGACACAATGGGAGAAATGAAAAAAGTGCATTATCAAGGTAAAAGTTCTTCATCATAGAGAATTTGTATAATAGAATTTGTGAAAAGAAATGTATATGCTTGGCATAATAGAGAAATGACAAGTTTCTACAAGGCAAATTTTGTGGCTCAATACATTCTGATTTGTCTCCCAATCATATAGGGAGAAAGGTCCAAGTCCAATTATAATCACATTTTTCAGTGCCCAGATACCTTCTCTTGAGTGGAAAATAGCTAGGCACCAAAAGTTATCTAGAATAGATCGTCTGTGGGATCTTGGGATCTTATTGAAAAAGAAAAAGAAAAACCATAAGACTACAATTGGAAACTTATTAAAAAAAAACTCTACATAGAGGAAGGGTAATGCACAAGTCAGGATGGAAAAGATGCTATCATCCTGCATGCAAGTTATAGGTGGCAGGAAAGTAGGATCTGCAGCTCAATGACTAAATCAAGGATGTTTTATGTAATCGAATAATAGGAAGCACCCAAACGACATGGCTTCTTGGACATTTCTCCAATATTACTTAACATTGTTGATTATAGACCAAATTCTAGGATAATCCAATTGAGCCAATTTCCAGCCAAACAGATAATCGTGTGTTGATAAATTGCATGATAGACCTTTTGTAATTTAACAAGCATGAGATGAGAACTTTCAAGAGAATCAGATTTGCATTTAAGAAATGATATCAGACCTTTAGGATCACTAATGGCTTTAGATTCAGCACAACAAATCTGAAGGACCTGTTGCCTTAATGGTAATCTTAATATAGCTGGGAGTTCATGCTCATTCAACTTATTGAAAAATGATCGAGTAACCAATCGATAAATCTGGCCATCACAAGTCCTACCTGTTCTCCCCTTGCGCTGCTCAGCCTACAGCCAATATTTGAAAAGAAATTAATTGTGCATTACTAGAAAACTCTGAAATCAAAGCATAAGATTATCCTCATCACCTGAGATTTAGACACCCAAACAAGTTCTGCTGATTCCTTTTTCCTGTTATTATCCCAAAAGACTTGTAAAGATCGGCATGAATCAATAACAAATGCTACTCCGGGTATTGTGACTGATGATTCTGCAATATTTGTGGCCAATATAACCTATGAAAATCCAAAATAAACACATTAGAGAGGACTTTAGCTTCAATTAGTGATACAATGACGGAAAGTCAACTAAGATGGCTTGGTCATCTATATAGATGACCAATAACTATAACATTAAGAAAATTGATGCAAGTTAGAAGGCTCATGATGAGAATGCTCATAAAGAACAAGGGGAAGACCCAAAAAAATGTGGTCTAAAGCGATAAATAATCATTTGAAGCTTGTAGTTTGACAAAAAAAAAATGTTTCTTAATAGAACATAATGGTGGTACAGGATTTATGAAGCCAACTCCAAGTAGTTGGGATTAAGGTTGGTTTGAGTTGAGTTGAATATAATTTATGCAAACCCAAGAATTTATAGAACTCTATTATATTATTAAGATTTGCAAAATTTCCCGAGCAATTTACATAATCTGAAACACTCCCAACTATTTATCTGAAAGGGAAAAAGAACAGTAAAAAGCCACCAATACGAGTAAAACTAGCTTAACAGCCATGTATTGGAGACAGCAACATGAGATGTCAGATATCCAACTAAAAAGCTTTACAAGGAAACAATATCAGATATAATCCAAGCATCACCTTATCTTTTTGATGAATAACGAGTGAATTTATTAATAGATTAAAACCATAAAAGATACACAGAGAAAGTTCCCAAGTTGAGGCACGATATGCAGCCTCAGATTAAAGCAAAAAAAAAAAATTACAGTTTAGCCCAAAATATCCGATTCCTATGCACCCCTTGAAGTGGACTGACATGTTTGTAGTTAGCCATTTGAATCTTCGTAAAGCCCCTTTATAGGACCAGACTGCTGTTTCCGGTTCTTTTAACCACTGGATCACCAACTTGGAATCACCTTCAATTAACAACTATTCACAATTCAGTTCCTTGGCAAATTCAGCTCCTTGTAACGCTGCTTTAATTTCTGCATTGACTGAGTCCCCCACTCCTATAGGACCAGAGTATAAAGCAATGATTAGCCCCTCTGTATTTCTAAACACTCCCCCAACACCAGAAGGACCCAGATTGCCAAAACTGCTGCCATCAAAGTTGAGCTTAATGATACCCTCTTGAGGAGGTTCCCATTCTGGTGACGGTTTAGGTCTTGTACTAGAGCTTTTGGCAACCGCTTCCCAATTTCTCCATAAATCATCAAAGGAGAATGGAGAGAGTAATCCTAGGGTCTATACCCAATTAATGGCTCTATTAATTAAGCAATCCCATTCAATGATCTCGTTCCTCTCCTCATCAAAGATCCTGACATTTCTTGCTTCCCAAACAGTCCAAACCAATGCAGCCCTAGCACACCTCCACAAGACTTTAACTCTTTTCTTAGGCCACACCTGAAGGTTGTAGGCTCAAATAGATTGCTAACCTGCATTCGCATTGTCCACCTGCATCCAAAGAGATTAAGAAGCTTTTCCTAGAGACCTACAACAAAGGGACAAGATATTAGTAAATGGTAACAACTTTCTCCACTTGCTTTGCAGAGGACACACCAGTTAGTTGGGAGAAATACTGAGACAAGGTCTTCTTCTTTGTAGGTTGTCCAAGGTGTTTAGTTTTTCAAGAGAGGCCTCCCAACAAAGGGCTCCAACTTTAGGGGGAACAGGTTTAGACCAGACCTCTTTACAAGGGAAAGGCTGAGAGCTAGGGACAAAGCATAAGGAAGAGAAAAAGGAGGCGCATGAGAATGTGCCCAAAGGATTAGGAAACCAAATATGAGCATCCGGTTTAGAAGGGTCCAAACAGATAGGATCAAGCAAACAAAGTAACTATGCTGTCTGGCCAAGCTCAGAATCTCTTAAATCTCTCCTGAAACCCAAATCCCAACTGAAACCAAATGACAAAGAGAATGATACAAATCTTTGAACAGATTCATTTTTAAAGTGAGAGAGGGAATACAAAGGCGAAAAAAGATCCTTGAGGGTTGAATTTCCGATCCATAAGTCCTCCCAAAAAAGAACCCTATCCCTAGTGCATACATCATACCTGATTAAGTTTAAGAATTGTGGAAGAACGCCATAGATTGCCTTCTAAGGATAGTTCAACGTAGCCCTCTAAGAAATGCCAGCATCCCAACCATTGCCTTCTGCTCCATGAATACTCTCTACAACTTTGTGCCAAAGTCTTTCCTCCTCCAAAGGCCATCTCCAAAGCCACTTACCCAAAAGGGCTGAGTTTTTCTTCCCTAGGTTACCCAATCCTAGACCCCCTTGCTCCTTTTTCTTGCATACTAATTCCCATCTTACCAAATGATCCTTCCTTCCCTCTCCAGGCTCCCACAAAATATCCCTCATCAGTTTCTCTACTTTCATTACCTCCCTTTGCAGCATCCTAATTACGGAAAGTAAGTAAATTGGGAGATCCCCTAAGGTGGATTGAATTAAAGTAATTCAACCCCCCAAGATCATATAATTTCTTTTCCAGGCCGCCAGTTTCTTAGCACACCTTTCCACCACGGGATTCCAAAAGCTTCCTTCCCCAGGATCGGCTCCTAATGGTAACCCCAGGTATCTCAAAGGCCAACTAGATGTCAAGCAACCTAACGCCTCAGCTACCTCACCCAATTCCTCCTCCTTTAAATTCAGCCCCACTATACAACTCTTTTGGAAGTTGATTTTTAGCTTTGACACAACCTCAAACAACTTTATCACCCCTTTCAAATTCTTCGCTATTTGAGGGTCCCTAGTCTCACAAAAGAGGATAGTGTCGTTTGCAAACTGTAGGTGTGTAACAATAATGCCCTCTCTTCCAACCCTCCATCCTCTAATCAGATTCAACCTATCCACTCTCAATATAAGTCTACTAAAAACATTTGCTAACAAGGTAAAGAGGAAGGGAGAGAGGGGATCCCCTTGTCTCAATCCTCTAGTAGCTAGAAAGAAATCTCTAACCACCCCATTAACCAACATAGAATAATGAGCAGTGGTCAAACAGCCTTCAATTCAACCACACCACCTATCTCCAAACCCAAAATTCCTCAAAACTTCCATCAAGAATGACCAATCTACTAGATCGTACGCTTTCTCTAGATCTAATTTACAAACAAATCCTTTCTTCCCCCTTCTCTTGAAGTCTTCCACACATTCATTAGCTATTAGGACTTGATCATTGATTTGTCTACCTTGAATGAAAGCCCCTTGCAATTGACTTATTAAGGAGGGAAAAACTATTTTTAACTTCAAGGAAATTACTTTGGCAACTATCTTGTAGATAATAGTAACCAAACTGATGGGTTTTAAATCTCTTGGCTGAATAGCATCTCCCTTCTTAGGTATCAAGGCTAAGAAGGTGGAGTTAATCCCTAGGCTAATAGATTGCTCCTCAGCAAACTCCTCAAAGACTGCCCATAAATCTGACTTGATGATATCCCAACAGCCTTGATAAAAATACATAATGAAACCATCTGGCCCCTTTTTTCTTCCAACTCAAAATCCCTTTTCGTCCAGTGTGCCATTTCAAGCTTCAAGCTTGGCCAATCTAATCCTACCAGGCTAAAACTAGTGCCCTCCTGTCTCTTATATACTTCTTTAAAGTGATTTACGAAACAATTGGCAATACCCTCGTAGTCAGACATCAGCACTCCATTGACTTCTAGTTTCTCCACAAAATTCTTTCGCCTTCTACCATTAGCTAGTGCATGAAAAAAATTAGTATTGCCATCCCCTTCTTTAACCCATTGATGTCTTGATTTTTGTCTCCAACAAATTTCTTCTCTGAATAGAATTTCTTCCAACTCCTTCTTCAGTGACCATCTTAGACTCCTGTCTTCCTCTAATAATACACCCAGACCTTCCTTGTTATCAAGAAGCTCAATTTGGGATATCACATTTAATTTCCTATCCTCTACTCTCCCAAAATGCTCTTTGTTCCACTCCTTGACTTTGATTTTCAGACTTTTTAATTTCCTGTGGAAAGTTACTCCTTTCCCTTGGACTACTTCCATCTCTTCATTCCACCACTCTTTCACCTTAATAGCAAAGTCCAAGTGAGTTAGCCACATATTTTCAAATCTGAAAGGTCTAGGGCCACTTAGAAAGTCTTTAGTCCCAATGCTGATCAACCAATGATCCAAGGTGACTCTTGGTAAAGCTCTAGCTGACAATCCTGTCCAATGCACTTGGAACAACTTGGAGGATTTTGTTTGGAGCAACTTGGAGGATTTTGTAAGTTAGAAAAATGGTATGTTGAAGAGGAAGTTCCATCAATTCACAATCATCAATAAAATCATTGAATTTACTCATGCTTGTCATGACCAATTGGTTAGGGCTATTTGTCTCATTTCTGAATCTAACCACATTAAAATCACCACCTAAACACCATGGTCCATCCCACAACCCTCTAATGTCATAAAGTTCTTCCCACATTAAACCTCTACCTCTGTATCTATTGGGGCCATAAACATTCGATAGAACCCAAGTAAACCCATCTCCCACACCTTTGAACTTCAGAGAGACTGAGAATCGACCTATTAACTCCTCCAACAGGTCCACCACCTCCTTCCTCCACATTGTAACAATCCCCCTAGAGGCCCCCCACGAGGGCACAAAGGGCCAACCTATCCCTCTAGAGCTCCACACACTTCTCACCCATCTTGTATCTGGGATTTCCAATTTTGTTTCTTGTAGCATTACTATATCTGGACACTCTTTTTTGAGAAGATCCTTTATTACACTTCTTTTCCTAGCACTGCCTAAGCCTCTAACATCCAGCCCAATATCTTCATATCAAAATTCAACTTAATCCCCACACGAATAATCCCTTGCTTTGGACCCTTCCGTCTCTGCCCCCTCGCACTAAATTCAAGATCAGCTGCATCATCAGATTTTAGTTTCTCTCCCTACCTCTATCATTTTTCTCTTCCTTTGATCAGTTGACTCTTTTTTTTCCCTTCTTTTTGGCATAGGCTTTAATATTTTCTACCTCTCTCAACTTTAACCCCATCGCTTGTACAAGATCTATCATCGGTTCCTTTTCCTTTTCATTTGTCCCT